AGCAGCAGCCGCAGCAGCAGCCTCAGCAGCAGCAGCAGCAGTAGCAGCAGCAGGAGCAGCAGGAGGAGAAGAAGAAGGAGCAGGAGCAGGAGAATGAGAAGGAGAAGGGGAAGGAAAAAGAGTGGTAGTGTAGTGGAAGTGGTAGTAGTAGTGGAAGTGGTACTGGTAGCGGCTGCTGTGGGTGAGGCCGTGTCTGTGGCTGTGGTGGTGGTAATAAAAGCAGCAGTAGTCGTACCTGTTGCAGGCAAGACGTCCTTGTTGGTGAAGTTCATTGTGTCGGCGATGTCTACCAAGCTTTCTGGCCCACCGCGGCAGCAGGTGGGTGGAGTGATTTTTGTGTGCAATGTCAGGCTGCGGGTTCAGGAGTGGGAGTAGTTTGAAAGGGAGCCAGTGCCACTATGGCAAGAGCCACCTTTCAGGTGCATCGCGTCCTCGTCTGTGCGCCCTCCAACCATGCAGCAGATCACCTTCTGCAGCGTCTTGTGAGGGACACGCGCATTCCACCGCAGTACATCACACGGGTGTATTCGCGGTTCATAGAGGCCAGCCACGGAAGCACCTACAAGAGTGGCCCCGTGCGAAATGAGCGCGGCTTCGACATTCAGCCTCATCTTGAAGAACACAGCTTGCACTTCAAAGTGAGCCAATCACCCCAGGTTGCCAGGCAGAGTGACGATCAGAAGGCGTTTGACAAAGCCTATGAAGCAGAGGAGGTTGCAGTTCTCAACAGAAGCCGTGTTGTGATCAGCACGTGTACCAATGCATACTTGCATCCTGCACTGATCCAGGGTGAACCGCGAAATGCTGTCCGCCCAGTCCAGTTCCACACTGAAGTCGTTGATGAAGCCGCGCAAGCAAGTGAGCCTGATGTCGTGCTGGCAGCCACTCATGCGGCTTTGCGCTTGGTTGTGGTAGGGGATCATCAGCAGCTCGGACCTGTGATAACCCAAAAAAACTTGTGTGCTGCATACCTGGGTTCTTTGGAGGTCTCGTTCTTGGAGCGGATGTTGAAGGATCCAGTCCGACAGTGTGCCAGTGTCATGCTGAACGTGCAGCATCGCATGCACGCATCCATCAGACGCTTTCCGTCGATGCAGTACTATGAGTCAAAGTTGACGGACCACGTCACAATCCCGCATCGCCCTGAGCTACAGAGCCTCTGGCCACAAGAGAAGGAGCACTGCCGCTTCATTCACAGCTGCACTCCCCATTCCATCGAGCTGGCTTGTGAGACGTCCTTCGAAGCGAAAGGCTCCCTGAAAAACGCAGGGGAGGCAGAGGTTGCTGTGCAAGCATGTGTCACGCTTCTGGAGAAGGGCTGCCAAGCGGAAGACATTGCCATCATAACACCGTACACCGCCCAGTGCCTGGAGATCCGCGGCAGGCTTGAGAGAGCCATGAGTGACCGAGCTCCGAGCTCGACTCCGCTTGTGGGCACGGTGCATGCGCTACAGGGATGGGAACGTGAGTTCATCATCATGAGCTGTGTGCGCAGCATATCAGAGGAGGTACAAGACATCTCTTCCGGAGAAGCGGCCACACGTGGGGACTCCGTCGCTTTGCGGGAGGTGTTTCAGCCAAGCCTAGGCATCGTGTCAAACCCCAAGCTCTTGAACGTGGCATTAACCCGTGCAAAGTATGGATTGCTGTGCATCGGGAATGCGGATATCTTGAGTGCGGGCTCCAAAGATTTCCACGACCTGATCAGCAGCCTCCGTAAGCGCAAGTGTTTGGAAAATCGAGAAGCTTTCGTCAAGTCGTTGCGTGGG